GCGAAAGGGACGATGGCGAATCAAGGACGTAGCAATCAAGCGCACCATTGTCGACGAGGCAGAAACGAGGGAGCTACTGCTACGTCGCGATTGGCGATTTACGCGATTTGCGCAATGTACGTTTGGTGTGGAAGGGGTGTGTGCTGCCTCCGCTGTGCCGCATCTCACGTCATTATGACGAGGCAATCAGCATCATTGCCGTATCTTCTACCATGCTAGCCTTCCACACAAAAGTTTAACAACGAAAATATTGTGCGGTGTGTCGGCCAGGTACCGGAACCATCTGTTGCAGTGTCAACAAACAACGCTGATCAAGTTCGGTACTTCACATTGGTGTTGGAAGCTATTGGAGTCGCGGCACACCACTGTGCCTACGTTTACTGCCAACGATGCAGTTCTCTTCTTGTTGAGGTGTATGGAATGTCTTCATTGATACCGGGGGGTGTTAAGTATCGCACCCTGAAACTTTCAACGACGCTCCCTCCAGCCCCCCCGGGTGTTTGCCATCTGCTTTGGGCTTGGCAACGACCTTGTGAAACAAGTCGATCGCTTCGTGAGCCCGACAACCAGGTTACCGCTGTCAAGTAGAATATGTTGTGCAGGGTCAAAAACCCCACGCCGTGCAATAGGGGTGATCGCATTGCGCGTGTTAAAGTGACCAAGCACCCTCAAGGCAGTTACGCACTGCTCATACCTGACTCTAGAAGTGAAAGCACAAGAAAATACAGATATGAAGTCATTCGCAGCTGTCATTCGCAGCTGTCATCCGTATGCAAGGAAGGAAGCACAAGACGCCGAACATCCGCAGCCGTCATCCGTATGCAAGGACCTAAGCACAAGACGCCGAACACCCTTAGCAGGATGCAGCCCACCCTTCATGCGACTCGCCGAATATCTCACGACGCTTCGCGGTTGGTGAAGTGAGAGCCTGGTCCGGGAAGAACCCGGCGTGCTCCGTCCCGACTTTGTAGCGATGGGAGGTCAATGGTCTAACGACAACGGCATGCACGACTTTTGTACGCCCCCCTCTACCCGCGTTGATGGTGATTTTTTCAAGAACGAAGAGACGCGTCTTTAGAGCGGGTCGACTTGAACAACCCGGCGCACACCGTAGGCTTCCCTCTAGCGATAGCACAGCAGTAGCCAATTCGATCTTTTGGTGTTGAAATGAGAGCACTTTTGAGCTCTACCCAGTGCTTCCTTCGAACTCAACGGTGAAGAACTTGCTTCCTACCCATTCACCACATTCATCTATTTCTTTTTTCTGGAGGGGGCCTTGTTTCTGTTTCCTTTTCTTTTTCCGGTTCCCTCCTGGTTTGTTTGTTTTGTGCTCTGTTATCACGTTTTGGTGTATTTTCGGAGCCATTTCCCCCCTTTCTGACTTCAATTGAAATGTTTACCCTTTTCAGTAGCTGACCTGTAACCACAGAAGGCGTCCGAGTCAGTTGAGCCGGTACGGATATCACAAAGTGTTGGGCAGAAATTGGTACGGATTCCAACGCGAAGACACAGCAATAGATAATATGGTTTTCCATCAAAATCATACAAAGCCCTCTCTTCTTTTGCTAGCGTACCGTATCTCTTGCTCTCCTGGTACATGCTGCTGTTGTCCTGGGGAACTCTAGATTGTTTCGGATCATGACGATATTGAGTGTGTTTGCTACAGTAACACGGACATACTTTCGATACAAGCAGTGGTTTTGGGAGTAGACCACGTATAGCTGTAGCATCTCTTGTGACAGAGGGAATTTTTCACATTTAGGTGGATCGACCATGTTCTTGGGTTGCTGCTGCTGTGCAACGATCAGCCGGCTTCCGGTCAGAGGTAGTCTGTAGGTAGGTATGCGACTCTCTCCGAGAAAGCGCTCGTGCAGGGATACTTCCCGGCTACTCACGCGGTGCCGGTTGTAGGAATCTCCGTTCTTATCCACGAGGTCGCAAGCCTGTCCGCCCCTGTATGACACGGCACCTGGCCCCCCTTCTCTCACCAGCTGCATCTGTCTACCAGAAGGGCCTGTCGAGTCCGAACGTCGGCAGTTTCATCGATGAAACAGCTGCCGGTAGCTCCGCTTGGCTATGACTAATCCAGTCATGTCTCACGCTGGTCCTCCACAAACCTCCCCTTCAACGAGGCTTCTTCCTAGTTTCCAGCCGATAAGAGGATCGTTCGCCTTCTACTCTCCTTGGTCGTGGATTTCACAAACACACGGGAGAGTCGGCCCTGGCAAAAAGGCATGAAATAAATAAGAAAAATCGACAAATAGCAAACACCTCAGCCGTGGATCCTACACCAAACTCTTTGTAGTGACCTATGCTCGGCGATGTTGACGAAAAAAGAAATTGAGCCTCGACCCCAAGTTAACGTTTCTCAAAAGCGGGCGCTAACTGTTTGGGAATTTAGTTTACGAAGAGCACGACTGTATCCAAGGACTCGCAAGGGAAATGTCAAGTTGGTCTGTACATATTGCCCACTGCCTGCTTTGCCCTTCCAGCGATAACATCCCTACGCTACCCTCCGCTACCCTCCGCTACCCTCCACTACCCTACTCGTCTGCCCCTTACCGTCGAAGTTGTGAAAATCTAAAAGGCGCAGAGCTGTGCTATTATACGCCCGAGAGACGATTCCGGACCACCACGAGGACGCTACAGGCCTATTCGGATCGAGTCAATGACACGTCTATCATAACAGGCAACAGGCAGCAATAAAGCACAGGAACGCGCAGTAAATCAAGTCCTGGACGTAACACGCAGTGAATATAGCACAGCAAATCATACACTCTACAAACTTTTCAGAATATAAATACTTGTATACAGCTAGTTTATGCGCTAGGATACATCGTAGCCTTTCGGCTTCATGGATTCAACTCCAGTGGTTATGCTCTGTGCAGGTTCCGCCCATCGAAACGTAGCTCCAATAGGCTTGCACCGGACATTCCGCAGCAGAGGGGGACACATCGAAAGTTGAAAGAAGCTTAGGTTCGATCAAGTCACCTGATTGTCAATGGTAGCGTCAACGTGGGTGGTGTGCATTTATCTACTGCGGTCTGGTTGTCGAAAGTGTGATTACTTGGTCTGCTCCAACATTATGACACATGTCAGTCAAAAACTTGATGCACATTTCGCGATATATTGTGTCGGAGTACAAACGTCTTGCCCACGATACAGTGCCGGCCCACTCGAAAAAAGCACCTATTTCAGCTGAGGCTCAAATCTTATTGCCGCAGCCATACTGAGCTGAATTTCTTATATCGGCATTTCCTATTTTTCCCCGACGAGATTTGCACGATTTCTTATTTTCGCCATTTCCTATCTTTTCGCCACCATGCAAATTGCACGATTTCTTATCATCCCTATTTCCTTTTCCAGCCACGAAGCTTTGCACTACCCGCGGGGTACATGCTTGCACGACACCCGGCGGTACTGAACTGAACAAATAGAAGAAGCGCAAAGTCATTGTGCTAATGTGCGTGCGGACAAAATACTCCGAATATTCCTAACACNACTACCCGCGGGGTACATGCTTGCACGACACCCGGCGGTACTGAACTGAACAAATAGAAGAAGCGCAAAGTCATTGTGCTAATGTGCGTGCGGACAAAATACTCCGAATATTCCTAACACCATGCTCTATCCCGGTTGGTCAATGTTGCGAACGTTGGGGGTTCGCGCCCTACTGCCCTGCCGGCGTGGCTGTTCATCCTCACACACCCCCGCCGGCTCATTCGAATCGTCGATCGGCTCGATCAACGCCCACGCTCCTACGACTGCGTTCGCCTCGTCTACATCGTATGCATCTAGAGGCATCTTCACACTGCTGGTGCTTTGATCGTACGCCAAAAACACGCGGTAGTCGTACGTGTGGCTAGTTTGCGGGGGCGCTGCCCGGCTGATCTGCCCCAAGACCCACCCCATACCACGCCTCAAGCACACGCAAACCTTAATCAATGCGCGATCCAGCTTTTGTGGAGGAGACTCTTGAAGACGGAATCCGACCGGAAGCTCCATCGCGATGATGTCATCGTCGGAGTCGACGTCGTTGTCGCTGTCTAGCTGTGACAGGGGGTCTTGAACATCGCCGTGGTCATCACCTAGCAAATGAAGCGATGTGAACAAAATCGTCGAGAAAAAGCCGGCGTGAGACACGCGCGTTTGAAGTTGGAGTCGGTAACATTGGGGGAAGTAGCCGCAGCAGCGTGTTGCACTCGTCGTGAAGGAATTTCTTGAACTCGTCCGTTGTCTGTGCGTGCAGGTTGTCCGCGAAAAGGATGGGCTGCTCCTCTGGAACGACACCTTCCTCCCCCTTGAGGCTGCGTAGGAAGCTGTTTTTGCCCACGCCATGCACGTTGGGCCGTCCATCCACGCGTTCTCCTGGAAGAGCACGTCCACACCGGGGTCGTACACCTCCTTCTCCACCGCCGAGACTTTGCCTTTGCCGCGGAAAATGACCGCGGTCCGCATCAACTTGTCACCAGCTCCGCTGCAACAGTTGACGGTGAACTGTCACTTCTCAAGACCAGGGAACGGCTGCCCAATTTGCACTCGCAAAGCTCCCGTCTCGTCCCACGTCGAGTCGAGGCCGTTGACGAATGCGAGTCCAACCTGGTCGACGGTGAAACGCGCATTCAGATGAAGCGCCCGTAGAGGAGCGATTCCACAGGAACGATCGCAGCGCCGTTGTTCTCGGCGGCGCCCCCAGCAGCGGCCCGGCAAACGGGCGGTTCCTGCAGCAGCTGGTGCAGCCTCCTGTGGAAGCTCTTCATTTGCGGAAGACGGTCCTCCATCGACTTGTTCTTCGTGTTTGTGCGCCTTCGTTTCGAGAGATGGTGGCGCTTCGCGAACTTCCTGCACCACCGGTCCGTCGCTGAAAAGCNGCAGCGCCGTTGTTCTCGGCGGCGCCCCCAGCAGCGGCCCGGCAAACGGGCGGTTCCTGCAGCAGCTGGTGCAGCCTCCTGTGGAAGCTCTTCATTTGCGGAAGACGGTCCTCCATCGACTTGTTCTTCGTGTTTGTGCGCCTTCGTTTCGAGAGATGGTGGCGCTTCGCGAACTTCCTGCACCACCGGTCCGTCGCTGAAAAGCTCTTTGCACGCGGGTCGTCCGGATACATTTCCACCACGAGCTTCTCGCGTTGACTCGAATCCAGGCTGTCGACACTCCGAGTGTGCTCTTGCGCCGTTGCAGCAACAGCGAGTGCAGCTTCTTCGCTGCGTCTCCGAATCACCTCCTCTCCCTGCCAGTCTTGAAAAGGTCTTTCTTCAAGTCATTGACCGCGGCTGCGATCAGCTTCTCTGCGTCATCGTTCCACTTGCAGATGTTGGGTTGGGGAATGCCAGTCTTTCTTGCCAGGAACTGCTGGCACGACACGCCGTGAACATGCCAGATCTTTTCGGCGTGATCGGCCTCCAGCTCTCGCAGCTCCACGACCACCGCAGCCTTCTTCCTGTTGCTGTACTGCGTATTCTTCTCAGCCCCTCGTGTTTTCTTCCGCTTGGTGCGTTCTTCGTCCGACAAAAGGCCGTCATCTGGCAAGTCTGATGTACCATCGCCTTTGGTCCTTGGCTGCAGCTCAAACGAACAGCTCCCTCGCACGTTGTACATTTTCTGGCCCGCCGCAGTGTTGTGCCCGCCTCCCTCTGAGTGGTGAAAGGCGACACTAAAACACCTGCCCGAATACCCGTTTCAAGGTTGAGTCTATTCGATATACTCGTAGCATAGCATGCGGGTGGTATATTGCGTATACATATCGGTATTGCAGTGACGAACTACGGAGGAACAAGAAGTTTCTTTATGTTTTCCTTGGGAGTGTGGTTGGTGTAGATTCATGAAGATTCGTTTTGGGTGTTTGAGCGTTATGCGTGACTTGATGCCGTGATGGAATGACGAGCTCAAGCACGCCCCCGATTATTACAACATGTATACAACACGTTTTCCAGCACGTCTGCACGACGTTACCTACCCCTACGGCCCGTCATGGCCGAGCTGCTCTACACTCCAATCACACACAACTGAGCCACCCGAATTATCGATCAGAGTCGTCATGGTCCCACCCGTCGCGAGGGCGCGCCTGAGCCCTCGTCGAAGATGCCGAAGAGGAGCTGGGTGCACGGCACTACAGTGTAGCGATCGACCTTATTCGGAGGCAAAGGTCTTCGGGCAGTACAGGCACTTCAACTTGGGAGGAGGTGGTGCGATGGGATAGTGGACGCGGGTGACTTCCTCCACGATGCCATTGCGGGTACGCTTGATCTGCGAGAAAATAGCAGCAAAGCGAGGCCCAGGGTACGGGGATTATAGTGCAGCAAAAAATGTTTGTCAACTCTGTCCCTCCAAGTAACTTACAGCAGTAAGTGTCGCTGAAAAGAAAAGTTGAAAAAAAACACGAGAACAAAACAACGGGCAGTCCCAGGATTCAAAACCGCGCCCTCGAACTCGATGGTGAACCGAAAGAGTCCCCCGCAAAACATTTCGTGTTTTGGCTTTCCTGCCGGTCAGATTGGCACACTTCGACACCAGCTGCAAGTGTTGCAGAAAAAAAAGTTGACGAAAAACACGAGAGTTAAAAAAAAAGGGCACTGTGTGTGTGTTTTCGTCCTATTTATTATTGTTAAAGTCCCCCCATTTTTCGTGGTGAGACGTGTACTACACCTTTCAGCGTATGTAGAGTACTACACTTTTTCAGTGTATTTTTTCGTACAACTACAACCATCCAGGGTCATACAGGAGGGGGTAAACACCAGGGCTTTTTCTTCTTTTTATTTCTTATCATGCCCCACCTTCCTCCTGCGGTGCGTGCTGAATATTATTTTATCGCAAGAAGGGTCCAGCCATCCCTTTCCCTCGTCAACGGCGCTAACGTGGAAGTTTGGTACTCACGAGAGCTTTTTTAGCTATGTTTCGCTTTCACCCGCAAATTTCGTATATTTTTCACCCCATGGCGATTCGAACTCACGACCTCTGCAAGTAGCGGATTACGAGGATGCCACTAGACCATCGGGGCGACCGGCACTGCCAGGATTCGAAGCAGCGTCCGCAAACTCGATGGTGAACCAAAAGAATCCTCCGCAGAATATTTTCGTGCTTTATTTTGTCTGCCGGCGAACAATGCGGGCGAGGGAGACGAAACAGGCGATGCACCGGACAAACACATGTCATTCACGAACATAGCCAAAGCATGCAAACGGAATCTCCAACCAACTCACCGGCTTGTTTGTTGCTGCGGCCCAGCAGTTGACGATGTTCCCGTGCATCGTGTTCGCCGCGGCCCTCGCTTCCTTGGCCGTGCGCTTGCCCTTTTTCTGTGCGGCCCTAGGAGTCTCCCCCACCTGCGACCCACCAACCCCTGCTTCTCCGTCCGCCGCTGCCGACCGTGGTGCTCCGTCTCGCAAAAGGTCTGCAACTTTTGCATCTAGCTGCTCTCGGTAGTCTTTCGCCGTAAACATGCCGCTGGACAGCAAGTTGGCCATGCGCTCCATATGCGACTCGAACTTGTCATCGATGGGCTTGTTGGCCATGATGTGCTCCTTGATGTAGCCGGCATCAACAAACTTCGACAACCTCTCGAGGTTGCCGATGGATGCGTCTGAAAGTGGCATCGCCTTCCTTGTGCCTGAAGAACACGAGTTTTCTTGTGAGCGGTGGCGGCGCATATTGAGGCCGGTGGGACCACGGGCAAAGCCGCCGGTGGGGCCTCGGGGGTCACAGTGGGCCATGCGCTCAAGGTGGCCGTGGTGGTGGAGGCCGGCGTGGCCCGGGCCGTGGCGCTTGTGGGCGGCCTTCTTCTCGGCTTGGAGCATGGCGCGGAGATCGTTGCCGAGGCCGAGCTTGGCCAGCCGCCAGGGGCGGAAGTCCAGGGCGACAAGGCTTCGGCCTTGACTCCTTCCCCCTTCAGGATTCCGTCCTTCGTGAGTGCTGCCATGCGGGGGGCTGGATGGCAGCGCCTATCGGCGTTGGACGAAGGCGGTGAGGTGCAAGAAACCGCTGTGTCCCACTCGCTGCTCTGCGCTCCCCGTGTCGTCCGAACCACCGTCCGTGCAACCAACTCGAAATCGCTGATGGCAGGTTTGAGGACGTGAGCCGGGAGGTGCTCTCCGGGTACAGCGTCAGGCGCGGAACGGCTCTGTACGCGTTCCTCCTAGCGTCGAAGTCATTCTCCGCATACGTCGCAGACCCGGGCAAACAACGGGGCGACACCGAGGTAACACAGTCCGCAGCAGTGTTGTCGAGCGGGAGACGTGTGCGCACAAAGTGTCGTGTCTGCGGGTTGGTTGGTATGTGTGACATCCTGCGCGTAGAAATTTAGCCCTGCAAATGGTGGACATGGACGGGTTGTGCGTGTCGACCATTTGTAGGGCTAAATTTCTACTCGCAGGATGTCACGCCAACCAACCAGCAGACACGAAACGTTGTGCGCAAACGTCTCGCGCTCGACAAGACTGCTGCGGACTGTGTTACCTCGGTGTCGCCCCGTTGTTTGCCCGGGTCGGCGACGTATGCGGAGAATGACTTGGACTCCAGGAGGAACGCGAACAACGCCTTTCCTCGCAGGACGCTGGACGCCATTAGAGCCTTTTTGCTCTATTCCTCGAAGCTGCCATCAGCGATGTCGACTTGGTTGCACGGACGGTGGTTATCGGGCGGCGGAGGGGGACGACACGGGGAGCGCAGAGCAGCAAGTGGGACACAGCGGTTTCTTCCACCGCACCGCCTTCTTCCAACGCCAACGGGCGCTGCCATCGCGTCCTTCAGACGCTACCCCAGCGAGCAGATACTGGCTAGATACAAGAGACCGGCTCTTGTCTCGGAGTTGAAGATCGCTATATGTGGATCCGCCATGTGCATACGTTGTTCGCATAGGGGGGCGGAAGCAACTCCAAACTGGAAGATGTAAACATCTCTATTTCTGTCTCTACCGATCGCAAGAATAGTCATACAAGACCAAGCCAGCGGTGGAGAGCTCTCTCCCAATACAAGCTGAATACATACCACGTTAGATAGTTCGACATACAGACTCACTCCGAATGCGGGGAGCGAATCAAAAATACGAAGAAGCATGGAGGGTTAGTGCAAAAGATCGTAACGTCTCGCGGCCTCCGCGCTGCTGGTGCTCGGGTCTCTGCCCAACAGCCACGTGTGTCGTCTCTCGAGATAACAAAAGCCAAAAACACCTGGTGTACCACGTGGAAAAGTGAGTCCCCCAACAAGGGGTGTGCTGAACCCGTTTCACGAAAGGCTCACACAGTACAGTACAGAAATACTGTAAATGTGCGAGTGATCGTACACACCCAAATGTGTGCCAAAACCAACCGGTACGAAAGCTCTCGACGAGATCTTTTCCAAAGTCGGTCATCCTTTTCGGCGTCGGCACCTTTTCGTTGCGGAGAAAATACAGACATTTTTTGCATCTGGAAGCCGGTCTGAGGGGGGGTGCTTGATGGCTCACTGACTTACACTATTACGGTATTCAGACAGCGAGGCATTCAGGGCCGACGAAGGGTCGACCCAAGACGAAAGAAGGTGCTGGTACAAGGCAACGGAAGGGTTTACAAGGGAACCAGGCTGGTTTACAACATGTGGGCGGTTGGGTCTGTTCCCCTCCCAATGTGGTTCCCCGTGAGGGGACCAGCCCAGGTTGTGGTAGCGACCAGCGCTCCCTTGAGACGCCGGGGCGGCGTAGTCGTTGCCGCCACGCTCGAGGCTTCGGCCTTGACTCCTTCCCCCTCCAGGATTCCGTCGTGGTACTCGTGAGTGCTGCCATGCGGGGGGCGTTGTGGCCTCAAGAAGCCGTTTGTGTGTAGGGGATTTAGAAGAAACCGATATCAAGCCATTAGACTAGTCAGCGCTGACCAGTCTAATGGTTTCATATCGGCTTCTATAGACTAGGAAGGCCAAGATGGCGTTTTTGTCGAAGAGGTCTTAAACGACCTCTTCGCTAGGCCTGTTTCGTGTGTTATCGTTTGTTTTCGTGTGATCCTGCAGTCGTCTGCCCACAAGGACGGTAGTTGTGTTTCGTTCCAAAACACTGAAGCACAACGATGCCAGAGTACGTACCCTTGCCAAGTGCATATATGTTTCGATATGAATATGTCGAATATATTGATGGTGAAGAGGTATTCGTAGGACCGCTTCAGGCTGTGCATGTCATGTCTTTGTTGTGGCTCTGGATCTTCCACCCACCATAATATCCCCTGTGGTTGCCGCGCCTCTCCTCTCTACTGTAGACATAACCCGAATGAATCAAAAGCAACGCTTTCTTGTGTTGCCCCCCCCTCCCCCCCCCTTTTCATGTTCGGAAGCCCCCCCCCCTTTTTCTCATCGTGTGTGGATTTATTTGCTTGTTTTCACAACAACAATCGCCGTCTGTGCTCTCTTGCTCCGGGCCGTCGAAAACCAACCTCGCCTCGCGTGTTTCATCTACTCCGTCCGTCGGTTGGATTTTCCCACGCTTGTGGAGTATCGGGTGGGGTAAGTACAGAAGATTCAGCGGTCACCAGGCTGTTGCGGTCATTGACGGATCGGATCCAACCGAGAAATCGGACCAGTTGAAGTCGAAGAAATTCATTCATTACTCCTCGCGTTTAAATAGCACCAGCAACGTGCATGCAGCTAATTTTCTATGACTCGCACCAACAAGTGTTGGCGGTGCACGCGAAGGCAGCTGTTTTTTCCGCTCCTTTGGGTGTGGCCATGTGTATCTACTACTTGTATTTTGCAAGAGTGGGCAGCGGTAACACCGTTTTTATTGCAGGATAGAATTGCGAGAAAAGATACTTTTTTTTGGCAATTTTTGGTCGGGAACTATTTTTGTTAAAATCACTTGTGCTACACGCTCACTGTGTGGTGAAAGAAGTTTTCTGGTGGAAGCGTGATCGTTTTTTTTGAACAATGGCAAGAAGCAGGCACACCCCACAAACCACACCGCGAATAATCCGACCAGAGAGTGCAGAAGAGGGTAGGTGCAACCTTTTTTCTCCACACTCACGATACCACAAGGCACCAAACCTGGCATCAGAGGGGGTCTATGTGTGTGGTAGGGATAGCTGCTTGGCGTGGACTCGCAGAAGTCTTGCCGCGTATCGTTTGTTCGACACTTGTGTCCTGAGAAACGTTCGCAATCTTTTGCTCCAGATCGCGCGGTTACTGTCAAAAGCTAACGTTCCCAACCTTTGGCGCAACGTTTTGCTCCCAAAAAGAGCGTACATGAGAAAAGTTGCCATAAGAATTTGCAAGCTTTTCTCCCAACTTTTCCATGCAAAGTGGTGTAAGGAGGATGTTTCATGGGGGGGGGGGCAAAATTTCCGCGCACGCCTGCCTCCTACTCCATCTCTGCTCTTTTCGAAGGATTGTGCACCTCACCTGGTTCCCGACGTTCGCGGAGCTCGACGAACCGCAAGCAACTAATCTCTCGGAGACACGACCAACTAATTCTTCATCTACATGTACTCCGAGAGCATTCTTGGGTCTGGACACGTCTTCAAGCTCGCCAACTTCGTGGCAGCGCGTGATGAGCGGCTGGAGAAAACGAAGGAAGTCGAGGACTCGGCTGGCTCGGATAAGGGCCCTGATCGCAGTTCGGAAGCGTCTGCAGCCAGAGGATCCCGAGGACTCCGCTGGTTCGGTTAAGGGTCCGACTCCCCGCCGCAGCAGGTGCGACAGCACGAGCGCCACACTCAGCAGGGGTGGCGGTAGCAAGCAAGCTGGGCCGGCGGCCGCTGATGGCGTAGCCCGAGCACCGTGGGCGGCCGAATATGCGGAGCGTTGCCGCCTTTCTTACAACTTTCTCGAAGTACGGAAGTCCAGCGTCGCGCAGGTTTTCCTCAATGGTATCGGTGAAGACTTCCACCGTACCGGAACAGGGTACTGTGGTTCTAGTGTTTCTCTTGTAGAGGTCGAACAATTATGAGAACAACTATTCAACTATTATGGTGATTCTGATCCTAAATTCTTGAGAGCTCATTGATGGCGCCCAAGAACTGCTCCCCTGTTGCATTAGTACCTTTGTGCCCCTGAGATCCTCTTCTCGATGCTTTTGCTAACCCTCCCCGTCCACAGACATTTCGGTCCCAACCGTATATCCTGTACGGCAGCTTCGACACCATTCACAAGGAAAAGCCGAAGAAAATGACAGCCGCCAAGGCCAACGCTGCCAGGAGTCAGGACATGGCTCCGCCGCCGAAGAACCTCTTGGAATCACCGATGGAATACACGACAAGATCAGTTCCTCTCACGAGGAAAGTGTACGGAAGGGGCACCGGTAGAGAGACACGCGTCTTGGTTGCAGGGTTGGTCCCGCCTGCGAGCATTGGCATGGCGGAGCTCGGCAGACTTCGGGTGCCCACCGGTCTCAGGCTGTGTCGTGTGTTCACCCGGTCTCCTGCCCCACCCGCCATCAGTGGTTCCAGGCCGAGCTTGCGTTGCCACCGAGTACGGCGCTTGCTTTTTCGTATCTGCGGCGGCGGGGAGGAGCCGGACCCTTACCCAAAGCAGCTGAGTCCCCGCCTTCCCCCGGCTCCCGCCGCTTCTTGCGCGTACTGCCCAACGGACCCTTACCCGAAGCGGCCGAGTCGTTGCCTTCCCTACTTTCGAAAGCCGCTTCTCGCGCGCCGCGCTCGGCTTGGCCAGGCGGCGCGCAAGCAGCGGCTGTCGACAAGTAAGTAAGGAAGGCAACGACTAGGCTGCTTCGGGTAAGGGTCGGTCTAGCAGCACGCACAAGAAGCGGCTGCAGTTGGAGGATCCCGAGGAATCGGCTTCTTCGGGTACGGGCCCGGCTCCAAGCCACCGCAGGCCGCGCAAGCTCGGTCGGGGATCGCTCATGGCGGAAAGGGCGGGAAGGCCTGGTCAACACATGGCACAACCTGAGCGTAGTGGGCGGCCGAATGTGGAACGTTGCCACCTTCTTGTCTGGCAATCTTCTCCAATTACAGAAGTTCAACATCGCGCAGGTGTCCCGCAACCCTCACAGTACCGGTAGAGACTTGGACCCGTCCCGTCGAACATCGAAAGGTTCTCTCGTTCTCGAACGGGAAGACATTATCTGATACATTTTCTGCTACATGAGGTGGTGCCAAGGGTGGGATCCGGAATGGGATGTCCCTGGAATGGCCACCGAAAGGTCGAGGTTCATTGTTTCTCCTCTTTGCGTGTGGTGATTGATACACAGTCTTGCCCTGCCAGCTTTGTGCCGTCCGATTGAATATTGTTTTACGTTCGTGTCCTTCGTGGAGCCAACCGTGCTTCGGTGACCTGTCTTTTTTTTTTCCGTGTGTCCGTGCTTTGTTGGCGCTCTTAAGATGATTTGGGTCAGCGACAGACAGCGAGCGAGCCGACTAGGAGGAACACGGCCAGATTCTGTATGGTACAGCGTGATAGCAAACCAGGTGTATGTACTACAGATGGCAACAGAGCGTCTCTTGCGAGTGAAGGCACTCTACACAGATGGAGACCGGGGGGCAGATCAGCAGGGACAAGCGCGTCGCGAATTCCGTCGCGACCACAAGTGCATGGCGTCTTATATTTGCTGTTTTCCAGTCTGGCTCATCTAGCTAGGTGTATTTTTCTCGGTG